GCTTTTTGTCGTGACATCTCTTCAGAAATGTGAGTGAATCAATCAGATGAGACTTCCTGTTTGTAAAAAGATTTTATAGTGATGTGGAAACCCTCCCCGTAGAGGCGATTAAATATTCACTTAAAGCTTTCGTGACTGCGGGAATTCATATGGATATTTCGGTAAAGTCACGCCTGTGTCTGTATATATGGATGGCTTCATGAACGAATTTTTTAGCTTCATGAACGACACAATTCAACCGAGAGGATGGGTACAAACTCAGCAATTATTGGAAGGACGTTATCAACCAGTTTAAGTCATAACTAGCTGTGATCTTGCCACCTTGTCACCTTCCGATGTTAGTTTTATTTTACTAAAGATGGGACAAGCAATTCCAGTTCCTGCAGTATCACCCCTGCATTGAGCGTACCACAAGTTGTTAATTTCATGCGTCTACCCCATTAACAAAACCATCTCCGCTTCTTTTGCCTTTTGTGGCTTCCCCTCTTGTTTCCACCTGATGACGGTCGCTTGTGTTGCGATCGAAACGTCGTAGTTTTTTGTAAATTTTTTTTTTTTTTTAACCTATCTAAGTGACTTTACCGAAAGACCCAAAGAATATAAATTCCCGCAGTCACGGAAGCTTTAAGTCAAGATTTAATGTTGTCCCTTTGTGCCCCATAGCCCCTATTAGTCCACGTGTGGCGGAGTGCGGGGGATTATTGTGAAGTCAACGGGACTCACACGAGAAATGGCGATGATTTGCACGAGTGCCAACACTTGGCCAGATGGCCACCACACACTCACCTGTAACCACATTCACACTCACCTGTAACAACATCCACTTTCACCTGTAACCACATCAACACAATCACCTGTAACCACATCAACACACCCACTTGTAACCACTGGCACTCTCACCTGCAACCACATCCACTCTCACCTGTAACCTCATCCACACACTCACATGTAACCACATTCACACATTCACCTGTAACCACATTCATTCTCACCTGTAGCTACATCCACTCTCACCTGTAACCACATACACTTTCACCTGTAGCTACAGTCACACACTCACCTGTAACCACATCCACACACTCACCTGTAACAACATTCATATACTCACCTACAATTATATCCAGATACGTTGCTTTGTTTTTAAAAGTGAATGACCACATGTACACTGCAGTGCTAACAACATATGTCTTTGTCAAATGCAACTCACTACACTATAGCCTCTAAAAACAGCAGTGATGAACCCCAAAGTGAGCACGTGGAAATGGGAAACTGTTAAAGTCACATAACTGATAATTACTGCCAAGGATCACAGCAAAGAGCTCATAGGAAAAGCAAAGCAAAGAGAGGAATGCAGTGCAGATCACCTCCCTGTTTTTATCAACATAACCGGGTTGCCAGGGCGTGCACTCTCGACTTTGTGAAAATCAGCGAGGTGCAGGTTTGTCATGAAGATCGGGGCTCTGGAAGAGGCCTCTGTGTTGTCTCCTCTAGTGAGGCTGGGGGAGAAATGACTTCAGCGTGCAAGACACAGCTGTGTGAGTATTCTCTATATGTACGCGTAGATGCACAGCACATTTTAGGCTTTTGCCAAAATGGCACAGAAGCGGACATGAACTATAAAACAGATCACTGAGCAATAAAAACGTAATGATTCGTTCAATTTTCTTTCTTGCCATAATTAATTTTCATGTCATAGTATTACAATCACTGGAGCAAAAACAACAGTACATTTGGAAAAAAAGTACAAAGTGTGCTAAAAGAAACAACAATAAAACATATTATTGGTTCTTTCGGTAAAGTCACGTAGAAGGGAAACAATTAAATAATAAAAATATAAACAGTTATTCTTCGTAAAATGTCCAATGAATTAATAAAAACGATTATTTGGTGATACTGCATTCACAGCGGTGCACAAGTACACATCACAAATGCAACAACACTGTGGCCTTCAAGAGACAAAGTATACAATAGACGACGTTTTGGGCAATGGCCCTTCTTCGCAGCACATGCCAGAGAGGTGGAGTTGACATGAGTAGCAGACACCACGTTATATACCATGGGGCCCGAGAAGAATACAATCGTAATGAACAGTTTTTATACATTCTTGGTTCTTTCGGTAAAGTCACGTAGAAGGGAAACAATAAAATAATAAAAAATAATAAAATATTGTTTTGTTTTATATTTTTTTATTTTATTGTTTCCCTTCTATGTGACTTTACCGAAAGAACCAAGAATATGAATCCCTGCAGTCACGAAAGCTTTAAATCAAAAGTTTTTACACAATTCACTTGGTGGATTACATCACTCACAGTGAACCCAGGAAGTCATCGCTAAGTGAATTATGAAAAACCTGTTAATCAGGAATTTTTAAATTAATGTTTATTATTTTATGCAGTTCGAGGCCCCATTGTATATCACGTGGTGTCTCCAACTCGTGTCCACTCCACCTCTCTGTGTGCTGTGAAGGGCCATTTGAAAGCCAAAGTGTTATTGACGATTGTGGTTAGTTTTTTTCCAATTAAAGAATTTACTGCTCATCACATTGCCCTTTATTAACGCAATTAATTTGCACAAATCTTGACTTAAAGCTTTCGTGACTGCAGGAATTCATATTCTTTGGGTCTTTCGGTAAAGCCACGTAGATAGAATAATAAAAAATATCACGATGTTTCGATCACAACACAAGCAGTCGTCTTCAGGTGAAAAAATAAGGTGAAAAGCTATTTTTTCACCTGATGACAAATAAGGTGAAAATCATTTTTTTAACCTGATAACGATTGCTTGTGTTGCGATCGAAACGTCGTGATATTTGTATTATTCTATCTACGTGGCTTTACAGAAAGACCCAAAGAAAATAATTAGCAAAAGTTACATTTGATTACCGCGCTGAATATCGAAACACGTTCCAAGGCGGAGTAGCTCAAACTAAAGTCACTGCAGCTGCTTCGTTACACACTCGGAAGTGACACACCGGTTAGCTTTATTGAACACCACATTTTTGGCAAACATGACCCACAGAGGAAAAAAAAACCCTCCCACATTCATAGCTAGGAAAGCAATCCACCGGCAAGGGTGAGTTGAAAATAAAACATCTGCATGCATACCCTCTACAAACCGCAGATAAATTTTATTGAAAACAAACGCAAACCATTGCTGCAATTTTATGCCAAGCAAGACCAACATTACGGTTCACAATAAAATCATCGTGCCGCAAAGACAGCTAATTTATTGTGCGAATCACTGCTGCTCTCCATAGCCAAGGGTGTTGGTTTTCATATAACGGTCCGGCTAATTGGGGTCACTTATGAAAGGCAAATGCCCAATCGGCAGTATCCGTCCCTACATTCATCACTACGACAACAGGAAAACACGAGGAAACACGCACCACGCGCCAAACAAATACATTTCCATTCGAAATTGCAAAACGGCAGCTTCAGGCCACTTGCTCTGTTTGTGGATGCACTGCCACCCGTGCGCAGCCTGACTGCGTGGGTCTGCCATTGGTCTACTTCCTCCCTACACTTATATGCAATTAGCCAAGATGTCATAATTAAATGCATGCATAATCACTATTAATATTGAGACTCTTGGTCTGTATCCAGCTGCTGTCATCTTACCATGGAAAATACGATAACATTCTCACTTATGATGAAGACCAGGCTCATCCCATTAAAAACGAGACACGCACCACCCGACATGGAAAAATATGCTTGCTTTAAACATTATGGTTCAGGATCCCAGCAACAACTGTCCTGATATCTATTTGTAACATCCCAACGCTGATGATTGAGCCATCTTCACCCATTGCACTTTGCTGGGATTGTCAGAGGCGGGGGCGGGGGAGCTGCCAGTGATACTGGGGTCATGACCCCATGACCAGGGAGCTCCTGAGAGACACAAAGCACAGATTATCATCTCCTCGTGCACCGCAAGTGTATCTGCCTGCTGAGCCATCGGGAAGACCGAGGGTCAGCGAGTCCCCACGATCAAATGAGCGCTCATATCTACTGGCAAACCTGAAGCACTGGCATAAATTCCACATTTCCATGGTAAGGGCCAGTCAATCCATTGTGTGATCCCTGTTGGCTTCCCAAAAACCATACTCATTATGGATAGCAAACAGATAATGATCTGAGGTGACCCCTAGCTGGGATTTGCACTGCAACCTTCCGCTTGTAAGTCATGCGCTACAAGGCCAGTCTCACAAAGCCAGAAACTATATATTTTAAATGTGATTTTTTTCGTGATTTAAAAAAAGTATACGAATTTGGGACCTTTAGTGATGTTTTCATAAACTTAAAACTAACTACGAGTACTGTAAGAAGCTTAATTTTAATTGCAGATCTGGGAACTCTACACTACCAAAGCAATTCAACAAAAGCTCCGTTGTATTTTGTCCATGTGTGTTTGCAGTACTTTGCAGACATCCTTATTAGGGTAGCTTTGTATTTCACATTCTACCACTCCGTTCTAATTAAAACAGCACGTCATCAGCAACGCAAACAAGACCTTCCATTTTAAGGGAAAAACGATCATCTTGAAAAAAAAACCTCCCATTCATTGAATAAAAAAACGTTAATTGCTTGCACGGGAAAATGTTCGCAGTAGTCAAGGGTGAGCACGTTTTCATCGCTCATTTGAGGATGAAAAAACTCTCTCAAGTGGCCGCCGGCTTCACAAACGCTGACAACACAAGCGTCCCTCCTTTAGTACATCGACGGCACAAACGTGTCGTTATTCTTTGCTCGCACGACGAGCCCGGCTCTCATGGCGGCACCGAGGGGCATTCAGCCGCGCACAATGCACGACGTGCCGGCGCGGCACTCGGAGTGGGCGGCCGCCCTCCGCTGGCTCGCAGCGGATTCCTCTGCCGCACGCTCCTTCCACAGCTGATTGTGCCCTCGATCGTCTCGCACAGCGGGGACCACAGGGCTCGCATTGGCCCCTCCCCTACAGAGGTACTGGATGGGGGAATGTGTGGTGGGGGGGGCCCACGCCTTATTCGGGACCAACGAGTTCCAGTTGCTTACAGGATGGGAGGCGCTTGGACAACTGTGACCGAGCGGCCCCAATGAGTTAAAAAAAAACGGACGCCACATTACGAGTAGAGAGAGAGAGGGCTCTCAATGACTGGGGCTGCAGGGTGGATGGATGCGGGGGCTGGCTGCTCGCATGAAAACGCGCGCATTCCTGCGCGGCTGTCATGTACGCTGAGGCTGTGAGTAGGAAGGGCTCATTGCTTTGGGCTGAGCGCAGGAGGAGCGTTGCGCTCAGTGACTCCCGCCGGTGGTGAGCAGAAACGACGGGGGCTCGGGGGCACGGGGGGGGACTCACAGAGATCCCGAGCGTGGAGCCACGCGGCTCCAAAAGTCAGTGCAGCACCAGGACTCGGGAAGGAGGAATGACAATCAGTGAGTGCATCTGACCGAAGACCCGAGATATATTATTATACTTGTATATGCGTGCAAAGAAAACAAGGTATTGCAACCAACAAACTATTTAAACTTTAAATATAAGAAACTAGAATTCATATTAATTGACAACTGTAAATAACAGCAAAATGTATTGAAATATGCATGATGACGTAATTGAAAGAAAACGCCGCTAGCCGCTGACATCGCAATCGAGTGACTCTGACGTCCAGCTGTATTTCCAGCAGCCGTATGAACACGTTTATGTTGACAGGCCTGTAAGCTCATCACCGTCCACGCATCGGCATGGCTCTCCGAAGACTGCCCGGGGTGCTACGACTACCACTTGCGCCGGTGGCACCGCTGGCGCTGGCGCTGCTGCTGTGCGCCGGAGTCTGCACGCCGGCCTTCCCGCCCTCGCCACGGAGGTCGGCGCTGGGCGAGCTGCCCGGCGGCGGCGGCGGCGGGCGGCGCTCGTTCCACCGCGTGCAGCACGGCGCCTGCGTCTACACTTTCCTGCTGCCCGAGGTGGACGGGTGCCGGGCGGCCGCGGCCGACCGGGGGGGTGCAGCGGGCCCTGCCACTGCCGCCGCCGCGGCGTCCCAGAGCGGCTACGGTGGCAACCCCAACGCGCTGCCGCAGCGCGATGCGCCAGCGTCTGCGGCGACCCCCGAGACCGAGTGGCCGCAGCCTCGGCTCCAGCAGCTGGAGACTTTGCTGGAGAACAACACGCAGTGGCTGCGCAAGGTGAGGCCACGTGGGGGCCTCGGGCACGCACACACACACGCGCACGTGTCGCCAGGGATTAATTCCTCATGAAAGACTAGATAAGCCTGGTTACCAGCTGCCGCAGCCATAGGAGGAGTTATTCTGGATACGGTGTGCCGCGCGCGGAAACATTTAATGGGTCGTCATCCCAGACGGACCCAGCTAAGTTTAAGCCCTGCGCTTCGCTAAATACAAGCGATCGTAAATGCATTTTTTATAACCAAATAACTCGATGACAATTACGACAACTTCATCATTTATCCTGTCCAGGAGTGACATCTGGAAAGGTTTCTTTCGAATGTCTTTTCCTCGGAAAGCTGACAATTAATGCAATAATTAAATGTTTGATTCCGCCAGAAATGTGCGAATGAAGCGTCATTTAAAATCAGTTAATTGTACAAGCAAGGTGCGCTGCATGGTACACGGTAAAGACCGACTGACACGCATTATCCACCAAAAACAACTCCTGTTAGGCACTCATTCTGTTGACATTTGCTCGGCTGCAACTTCGATGGAATCTCTTGAGCAGCCCTCACCTACAGCGGGACTACGCGAGCAGGTGCAAGCCTGGTTTGTGTGAGTTAATATTAACCGTGGAGGCAACGGTACTTTTGGCACGCATGCTTGCACAGGGGCTACGCACCGCACTTATGAATGCAAGAAGGCTTTGATTATATTACGCATGCATTTTTCAATGCGCATTCCACAAAGCAGACATCACATCGTAATGCATGCAAATGCGGTGGAAACTTCCAACATTTGCTAAAAGGGAAGCACAATACTTAGATTCCAAATTGACCTTTACCCGACTGAAGCATCCGCGTTGCACAATTAAGATTTGCTTATAAGACATTTCAGAATGTCGGAGAAGCCTGTTCGATGCATATCTCGGTTTGCTACTCAGAAATAAAAGCCTGAGATGACATTTGTTGTTTAAATGATAGACATAATATTATTATTATTTATCAGACACTTAGTTATGGTTCATTTTGGAAGGTACAGGATATTATTTTCATCAGTTACTGCAACCGCAAGTCCAAGACTTAATCATTAAACTCCCGCAACCTTTGCACGTCCAGTGATGCTTTCGTTACAAAGCAAGGCACTGAAAGCCTCACTCACACACACGACATGTCACGAGACCAGCCGAAAACACTCAACAGCATTAAACTATTTCAGGAAATATTCAATTCGAATATTTTGAGGTCAGTAAAGTACTTATTATCGTAATAAAACGCAACGCGTTTCTTTACTTGGAAAAATAAACACAACCGAAGGAGTGTGCTATCAAAGTAGAGGCAAAACGCGGTGTTATTTGTCGTTAAGACAACACCGTCACTTGCAGGTGCCATGCTGGCTGCGCCACACCGCAGAGCCCCCGAGTGACGCTCCGCATGCACACTCCGGAGAGGTCCTCGCAATCTGCACAAATCATCGCCGGGGCTGCTTTTACAGTCCACGGCCTCTCGTACTGCACGGCAATTATCGCGCCTGTGCTATATCCCACTCACTCTGGCCGACTCCGTGCGGACGGGGTCCAGATTTGAAAGTTTGTCAGGCAATGAGCTGCTGGGGTTCATTACTTTAACGATTACTTTGTTGCGGTCGCCTCACTCATTGGAAGCCTCACTGTCTTAACGAACCCATGCCTGGTAAGTCCTGAGAATAAGTGTGCCCGGGAGATATGTTTCATACCACATGTCCCTGTATTGGTTGGCTCGACAATGGTTTAGTGTGTCTCTGCAAGGAATCTTTCCTTTTGAAGTCCTGGGGTTCGTGTGCGCGCTCGTGTGTATGAACGTGCATGCGTACATCTGTGGGGGTACGAATGTGTGGTCAGCTCAAGTTTTATTGGCCAGCTATCAGGTGAACTATTAAACCCACCACAGGAAATGTCCCACGTAAGGGGAGCATTATTACATGTTGAGAACCCCGTGTGAGTAACGCTGGAAAGCTCCCCGGCACTTGTTGCCACACCACTGCAAGAACGGCATCAGGTGCTGACACAGCGCGAGTGTGGGGCCTGCTCAGTGCCGGCAGCACGGCGCAACACCGTGCCACCTCCACACACGTGCCTCAGTGGTAGAGCAGGCGGCTCGCAATCGGATGGTAGCGAGGTCAAACCCTTATGGGGGGGGGGGGACGTTCGCTCAGCCCGTCGTCCCTCCAGGTTTGTGTGAAGTCAACGGTAACTTATAAAGTGAAGTCAACGGCAACTGCCAAAGGAACGTGGAATTTACACCACAAGCTAAGGGCTGCAATGAGATGCGTGCTGCTTAATGCTCATTGTAGCACAGAAACAGTTTGACCTCTGCTGATATGGTAGTGTTTATTGTGACACGTGACTAAATGCACAACAAATAACGAACAAAGCCCAGGTTGTTTGTGTGAGCGGCCACGTTTGTCGAGCGCCACGGCGTACGGAGCAACGCGTGAAGTGCGAAAGCACACAAATCAACTAATCTCATTCCCCTATACTAACGTGCACTTAAGATTCCTTGGTTTATTTGGATTCTCAAAGAGTTTCAGCATTAAATATTGATCTTAACCTACGACTTTGACAATACAATTGTCTTCAGCTCAAAGCCCCATGACAGAATCACACAGTGCATGTTTATAAACGCGATACATAAAGAGTAGAGTGTAAATCAACGCTGACGCGGGAGCTGTTGCCACCATGCCGAACAGAGGGCCTCCCCACTAGAGCAAGCATACTCCAAACAAACCTCTGCGTGTCTTGCACGTTGTGCTCATGTGCAGTACACTGCTCAATATAATATTCCAAATAACAAATCCCTCCTTGTGTAGCCTTCGAGACCATTGGGGTATGGGCTGTTAGTGAGCACCTATTAAGGCCGGCACAACGTGCGATGGCAGTTGTGTGGCCAGCACACATCAGGGAACCTTTCTCTCATCAGTGCCGATGTTTACGCAGCGCCAGGAAACCCGTTTAACGCCGAGGCCGGATGTTGTTCCTGGCTAGGACTTAAATCCAGGTAACCAGGATCACAGGGCAGCCTGTTGTAACATATATTACAATACACACACACATGCACATATTTATTTTACATACAATACTGGAATTAATTGCATTTTTTCAAGTCACAACTTACAAGTTATCGTATTTGAGGTTTATTTTGCAATACATATATAGATGTTGTTATAGTAGTGGGGTGCAGCGGCGCACACTGCTGCCCCGCAAAACACTTCGACGGCGGGTCTCAACGTTTAGTCATCGACTAATTGTGGGATTTTTCACAATAGTAAGATTGTAAAAAACAAACAAATAAAGTGAATAACTCATTTAACTCATTTAATGAGCTATTCACTTTAAGAATGCAGGCAGAGTTGAATATTTCAAAGTCAAATGTAAACAAAGATTTGTTTGTGCATGAACTGATCCTCGAGTTGGGTTGATTAGCCGATGGTTTTTATAACGGACGGAGGTTTTGTCGTAAAGCGCCCTGGGGATGCACGCGTGCAGAGTGCTCTTTACAGAAACTTGTATTGTTCTGTGAGTGAGGGAAACCATGTCTCATTGAGGATGCTGCTTGGGACAAACATAACGAGCAAGGAGCGGAACGTTGCGCTGGGTGCTCCATCGCTGGGAAGCACGAGGAGAGGGAGGAGTGAGAGGGAGGAGTGAGAGGCAGGGAGCTCCAGACGGTGAGCATGGCCGGTGAGCGTGGCCAGTGAGCGTAGCCGGTGAGCGTGGTCGGTGAGCGTGGCCGGTCAGCGTGGCCCGTGAGCACGGTCGGTGAGTGTGGCCGGTGAGCGTGGCCGGTGAATGTGGTCGGTGAGCACGGTCGGTGAGTGTGGTCGGTGAGCGTGGTCGGTGAGCGTGGCCGGTGAGCGTGGCCGGTGAGTGTGGTCGGTGAGCACAGTCGGTGAGCGTGGCCGGTGAGTGTGGCCAGTGAGCGTGGCCGGTGAGCGTGGCCGGTGAGCGTGGCCGGTGAGTGTGGCTGGTAATTGTGCTCATGCACCCAGTCAAAGCTACGTCGCGCCCCAAGCCTCGTGAACGTAGGCTGTGCCCCCAACTCCACACATGTTCTTACGTCGCACAGCAATAGCACGAACACAATGCACGCGCTCGTGCGTACACGCAGTGATTACAAAGCCACAACGCACACACGTTTGTGAGGTTGCGCATGTCTAGAGACCGATGGTAGTGAGTGAAATGTAACAAGACGTTAGACAGTTACATTTATATCTCATCTTTCAATCAAGGAACATTTAGAGACACATTCGAATGTACGATATGAAATCGATGCTTGCTACTGGGTTACAACCTTAGGTTTAAAAACCACAAATCAGATGTATAATTTCAATTATGAAAAATGAAATGCAGAAATTACACCGGAAATAATTTGGTATTTCAATACATCATTTACCTAAACTTGGTTTTCATGCAAAGTGGAAGACAGGAAGCAATGTAATTAACCGCGCGAACCGCATGCCGCGTAAATCTGGCTACGTACCGTGGGCCACGCCACAGCGTACCTGGGAACGTTTTGGGTAAAGTTTCCATTCCAACATCCAAGACCTCTGCCAAGGTCACCGGCGCTGCGGGCCTCGCCGCCCCCCGTGCACGTTGCGGTAACGCTATTTCACTGCTTGACTCTCTGACTTAGGGTAACAAAAAAAATTCCAAACGAGGCCCTGCGCTTCAAAGACGTGCCAGCCGTGTCAAATTGCACAAAAGCACCAGAAAGGTCTCACATCTCTGGTGCCAGGCATGGCCAATGCCCACACCCCCCCCACCCCTCCTATAAAATAGGAGTGCACGCAGTACTGGCCTGGCAACGGGCGAATGACATTTTCTCTGGAGCCTTTGTGATGGTAATGATGAATGGTACAGCAGTGCGAGAGACCCCGGGGAAACCATTATAAGCCGAGCAGCAGGACTCCAGCCACACACACATTACCATCCAAAAATAGGCTCCGAAATGTGGAAGCTTAGCTATTCATAAATTAGTTCT